TCATTTTCTTTCCCTTCTTTGTGTCTGCGATAACGGAGCAATCATGCCCCACCCAAGACATATCACCCTGCACGTGCACCAAATATATGGATGGCGATGTGAGAGTGGATTGTTCGAGAGCCAGCTCTACTGTTGAGATTTCCTCAGCTCTCGCGAATTCCTCATGGCCCTCTACTCAACTCTGGTGAGCAATAATTACTTTTCCTTCTTTTTTCACGACTGGGTGATTCCATGTCAGTCCGCACAATTTTTTCCCCGATCCCCTTCGATTTCAATGAAATTCGGTATGCCGATAGTACCTACTGAGAGAAACTGGAACAAATGTCAGCGCCATGCACTATGTATTCTGAGAATGACAATCATAAATTCGACAGTTTTACGGCACGTTGAACCCAGGGATCACAATACTTGTCATAAATCCCTCCATAATTAAGTAATTAAGATGCATACGTGAATATGGTATTGTTGGATATGTTATAAATTTCCCAATCAGATGATATGTAACAATCGGTGCTAAAAGCTATGACCTTGGTCTACATGATTTGCAGTGATCTTGAAACTTGACCTGACCTGGACCTAAGTTCCGACAATCGATTTCGATAAAATTTTAGAACTTTATCAGTAATGATCTCCTGTATGTACACCGCAAGTTTCATTTTGTGTTTTTGAATATCAACGTAGATATGAGCATTTTAGCGTATGACCATCATAATATTTATCGGTGTAACAACATCGGAGTGATGGGCTCGTACCTGCGCTTCACTTAGCACCAGTCATCTGTCATAATAGTTTCGAATTAGCGGTTCCTCAGTTCACAGAGCGTGTATAATGTCTACGCCTTCAGAACTCTAACTTCCCATTTTCTGCCCAGGTATGTAGATGTAGATGTAGATGTAGGTACTTTCACAAGTAGATACTTTGTCGGTCGGAGGCTAGAAAAACATGCAATGTTTGAGTTTGAGATGTCACTTCATCCTCACGTTATCTTTCCAAGAAAATCATCCATTCGAATTTAGAAAGGAAGTTTGAAGCAGTTGTGAACATTCCTATTTATCCGCACTTACGTTTTTCTTTGGTAAGTTACGGGTAAGGTTATGAAACACTGCTGCCGTATAACGCGTGGAAACGGAAACCCGGTGTGGGAGAGGAATCCATGTCTTCACATAAATATAGTGTTATGAGAAAATGTCAGAATTACTCCCTCTGAGAAAAAGACGTAAAGGCACTGCCCTCTTTTCTGCTGAGACGTTATCCTGGGATCACTCTGGGAAAATCAGCTTCTGAGATTAGTCGAAACACATACTTTCATCCCCCTCCAGCTGTGAGAAACGCCGCAGGGCAAACATGTCAATCCCAGGTTAGCTTTGGGATTGTCCCAGGTTCAGATTTCTGTCGAAACGCATTAGTGGGATAAGCATCATTTGACAGGCATGCTGAACATTTTCTTCTGCTCGGGGATTCTCCTTGCCAAAGAACTTGAGAAAAGTGGGATTAAAAAGACCCCTACTGAAATTCAAAAGAAACTCAAGTCGCTAAAGAAAGACCTAAAGTAAGTGAAGGACATGAATTCGCGGTCAGGGGAATCCACCCCATCTATAGCTCATATGGAGATTCTGTAAGGCGAATGGGGGTTACGGCTTTCTACCGGATTGATCTTCCACCATCATGCTGCTCTTTTCAACTGAGAGTGCACAAAGGTGTAGGCAGCAGGACTCTTGGTCATTAACACGTTCGCGACAATGCGTCCTGATGCCAGGATGCAGATTTTTTTTCAATGAATACCCTCTGGAACTGTTGAGAACGTTCCAGAAGATTATGATTTCGTAATTACTGATAAAAATTCCAAAAAATTCAACATTTTAAAAAAACAAAAAAAATGTTTTCTGGGACCGTGCGTCCTGATGGCAGGACGCATTTTTTGACAAAAAAAATGCGCGTGGTCCCACGCGGCGGACAAGGAAAAATAGGCTGGTCGTCAACGTGTTAAATACATCTCCATGAAAGAATGGACTCCCAGGAAATGTCACTCAGTCGGAACTGCCAGATTCTCTACCCCTGATAACCTGTCTACTCTGGGATTAGTGTCAAGACAGTTGAGCTTTTTGAGGGGTTTTATTGGTGGATTTCATGGCCAAAGGGACCACCATCAATGCTGAAACATATTGTGAGACCCTAAAAAAATTGAAAAAAAAGATTAAAGACAAAAGGAGGGGAATGCTGACTCGTAGTGTGTCCCTCCTTCACGACAACGCCAGACCCCATACCGCTCGTGTGACTCAGGACCTGCTTGTGTCCTTTGGATGGGATATTGTTACCCACCCACCCTATTCCCCGGACCTAGCGCCCTCAGATTTTCACCTTTTCACCAAACTGAAAGAATTCTTGGGTGGGAAACGTTTTTCCAACGATGAGGAGGTGAAGGAGACAGTGGAGAAGTGGCTTTCGGAGGTGGAGCGGAGCGTATTCGACGAGGGTATAAAAAAGCTGGTGCCCAGGCTGAAGAAGTGCATCGAAGTTGACGGCGATTATGTTGAGAAATAAACACATATTTTGGAACATACCCTGTAAATTTGGTTGAAATATATTCATTTTTCGATTTTTAACAGCTGTTGTAACCTTTTTTTCTAGATATCCCTCGTAGATGATGAACGTGCAAAGGAGCTTGCTTTGCTTCGGAATAGTTCTTCTCCCGACGGAATGCAGAAGTTGTCATTTTCTTCATTTTCCCAGAATCCGATATGGAAACACCGTCGCAATGGCTTTTCTCATTCGAGATCCAAAAACTTTTTCTCAAATCATCATCATGTCATGCTGGTGGGAAATATTATGAGAAAACAGAGTGCACTACCATTCATGTCAGAAGTTAGTAGTCCGCGTAGCTTATTGAAGATGTGAATATTACAGGATCTGTTTGATATTGAGAATTTTTCGTAAAATATTCTTTACAAGCTTTTGCGAAGCGATTGAGCAAAGCAACCATTCGCTTAAACATCTGAATTAAAATATAGCCTCCATAGGATTAATATTTCATAGGAAAGAAAATGCCGGAAATAAGACGAAGCGGGTTTTCCGTGTATTCGCGGCGCTCATATTCTAACCAGTGCGAAATACCTTGCTACTTGTATTTGTACGTCACGTTGCAGGTGTACTTTTACTTTTTGACTCACCCTCGTACTTTTATGGGCATTGAAAAAAAAAATCCAATTTCAAACTTTGCCGAAGCGAAGGACACTTTTTCGAGTCAATGATGTACGGTATCGGAGTCGCTAATTCCCCTCAGGAAGCGCTAATGTAAGTTAACCAATTCAACTTTAAATTGTTTATGCAATGGTTCACTTTCCCACATCTTCTTGTGCACATACGCTGAAGGCCACTGCTTTTTATTACCGCGGGGGGTTGGTTCCGTTCCATCACATTCTCCATCCGTAGCACGGAATAATGAAATGAAGAACCGTAATCCATTAAAACAAAGCATTATCGACGCACTAAAATACGAGTGCTGACCTGAGTTTTTGGGCAGGTATGAACCCTTTCCTACTGAATATATGTCGAAGTGTAATAAAATATCAATATAAAGTCGGCACAAGTACGGGCATGATATGAAAGTTGGATCACTTATTTCTGAAAGACTTTCCAATCTTCTTAGCCTGTCTGTGTCACTAATGCAGTTAATGTAAAGATCTAACCTTTAAAATAAGCAAAAGTATACCTGCAGGGTACTTTCTGACAGGCCCTCTTATTGTTATTAATTTGCAGATGGGTTATTCATCATGACAGAATATTTTTTGGCGAAAGCAAAAAGTTCCAGGACTTCTTCACTTCGCCCATTTGATGACGATGTGAAATGGCGTACCTACGCTGCCGCTGTCTAGTTTAAAACTCAACATCTTTCATTTCGAAATGATGAATTATGGGATATTTTGCATTCATTGTTGTCATTCTGAAGTTTTCCTTCGTTTGCGAAAAACCATTCCATATGGTAATTCCTTTCGAAGCATAATATGCCATTGAAAATTCAGGGTGATTTTGGGTGATTCGACTTATTTTCTCATTCATGTGAAGCCTTTTTTCTTAAGAGCTCCCAATCCAGTGTTTTTGCATCGCCATTTAGCGTTAGATGAAATGCTTTCATACAATATTTCAACAATTGAAAAAATTTTCCAATTATATCTACTGGTAGTCAGTTCAGATTATTCACTATCGCCGTGTGGTTTTGAGGGCTGACTGAAACATCAAATGAAATACACGGAAGTGCCATCTATGCAAAGTGCTATAGCAATTCCCATCTTCAAGAAATACAGGAGTCAGCTTAAAGCTTGACAGCATCAAGAGAGTGTGCCCTGAACTGTTCGGGCGCCAACGTCGAAATCCCGCGCTGTGCCTCATGCAAGGTTGATAGACACGTTAGTAGACATTATATGTACACGGCAAAAAAGATAAATACCTTACCCACACCCATTTCAGACTCGGAGGAGCAGCCCAAGGCGCAAGTCGTCGTCATTCTATGCACAGGCACGTGACATTGGCCAGACACTGTACGGTTCACCCTTGTATGTGAAAGAGAACTGGTAGGCTCCGTCTCTGGCTGTCGTGCTCTCTGCCAATGGATTTGGCGAAAGAGGAAGTGTGGGTTCCCTCTCCGGCTGGCATTCACGCTTCCGAGAGTACCGGTTGCACTGACCAGCTGCAACCTCACCTAGGATAAGCCGCTGTAATTAAAAAATGAAACCACATATATTGATATAACTTTACATGCATACCTTGCCGAGAAAACTCACGACAAACCCAAGGTCTCATTCTCATGAGATTCGCGAGTATCTCATGAGGTAATCCTCTTGTCGCAATCCTCATGAGGTTATAGGAGTACTAACAAGGTCTCACGCCATTCTCATGAGGATTGAGTGGTTGTTCGTGAGGCTTTGAAACGTGGTCAAGAGGACCTGTCCTATGACCTCTTGAGCCGTTTGTTCGAAAACTTCACGAGAATCTCATGGTTTTTTATGCATTGCATAACCGACAGGATATGGCGACGATATGGCCTTTTTGATAAGTATCCTCCTGTTCTCACTGGAGCATCTCTCCTGTACTCTCCCATCTGTAAGCATTTATATTTCAAAACCATTGAGTACCATGAGCATGCCATGATCACGCCTCCAGCACTATATTACCTAGTATAAAAGTAATTCATTTGAAATATTCAAATATTCATAATCCTGAGGGGACGTAACAGAAATTTGATTTAATTGAAATCGTTACTTCATTAATCTATTGTGTGCCTAACTTCAGACTTCTTCATATACCCTCATTTGTCAGCGAAAAATAAATGTTGATATACTTCCCCTCCATAAACTGCCCTGATGGGACATACCTTAAAAATTGGATATTTTCTGTACTCAATATCCGACAGGTACTTCTTCTCCAAGTTTCAACTTTCTCCCGTTCTCTGTTTTGTTGGATAAAAAAATATAGAGAATGCACCTCGGCCAGAAACACTCACAAAAAAAGTTTCAGAATTACGCTTTGAAAGATTCAGGTCATTTGCGTACTTCCGGCAATGGGTCCAAAGCAAGAGGCTTCTTGGTTCTCAGTGGATTGAGAATCTTTGTATATGGGAGAAAATACCTTACTTGAGGCATTCAACCTTAGCCGAACTGGATGCAAAGACAATCGATTGGCCCAACACCATAACTTTGTGTCCCAAGGCACTTTCTTCAAAGTGAATCTGAGCTTTCCAATATTCGTTTCTTATGACTTCTTATATTCTTATGGCTGCAAACCGCCCCATCCTTGGCATGCTCGAAAGAAGCATTACAGTTTCTAGCTAGATCATGGTATGGGGTATTTTATTTGCATTCCAGGTCTAGGACCTAATACCGAGGTTCATATGAACAACAACGAAATTGTTGTCTTGTCTGAGGAGAGTTTCCGCCCAATATTGGACATCCTTTCTACAGGAGATGGAGTCCTCAATATACCAGGTGAATTTCACGATTTCTTACCATGTTATCATGTTCATCCGTCATTTCGTTACACTGCATCTTTGCTATTTCCGTCGTGTCCCTATTCCAGGCAATCCTATCCGATGCGATTGTGACATAGCATGGCTGGTTCTCAATCAGAAATTTCTTACGAGTATTTCTGGGAAGTGCCACAATGGAACCGAATTCAAGGATTTGGATCTGTTTGCTATGAAAGACTGTGGTCGTCAATCGAACGTTTCAGAATCCGCAACTCAAGGTAACGTTTCCAGTTGCATTCTTTAAAGCTACATGGTACCTATATGGTTTCCCAAATTCTGGTTCCATGCCAAGCTATGAGTGAAATGGAAGGTTCCGGCTTTTTTTCGATGATCTGGATAACTTCATTTCCATGCCTTGAAGACGGTCATCAAAACGAGAAAATTTGACCTGAGTTCCAATGATGGTTCCCACAACTGTGGATAGAGAGTTGGGACAACTCCGTCTGAGCCTTCATGACCGGTGATTGGGAAATTCCATTCACGCGATTTATGGACGTCACTCTGGCTCTACCGCTTTGCCTCGCTGCCCCCAGATGCAGTAGAACGATTGAAACTCCAGCTTTAAAATAAATCAAAATTTGGGGAACAAACACTGCAATTAAGCATTTCAGATTGAATTTCTGGATTCACCTTCAGTGCAGACTTATGAAGAAGAAAGAGGTATACAGAGATTCCCTTGGCTCTCTCCGTGTTATGCTGACTGGAGAAACGATTGATCTATTTGAATATCAAATTCATTCTAAATTCACATGTGAAAAAGCATTTAAAAAACGCGAGCTCATTCGTAACTTTTCAATATATATATATTATATATTGTTGGTAGCCGATAACATTTCAGCAGGAACCGAGAGGAAGAGGACATTAAGTTTCATTGCAATGAAATTTTTGTATAGGACACGCTTTGCTACGTTTACGAAGGAAGCTGCATGACCTACTGTCGAATTTCTGGAAGGTCACGCGAAATTGTATTCAAGGGAGAGTCCGTTTTGCAGTGTCATAGACAGGCCTTTGGCGTTCATATCCTATCAGGGTAATATACATTAAGGTGCAAAAGTCCCTTCCCCTCGCATGAGCCAACTTTCTGGAAGCATATCTCTGGAAATTTCAGGAGAGATTTTTCAGTGTCATGGGCCTAGTCGGCTGTCATTCGTTCCAGAGAATTCTGGATGGCCTTAACTACGTTCAAATCCTTTGAGATCACCTCCTCCGTAGTGCCAGAAAGCAGTTCGGTCTATGCTCGCAATTGGAGCAAGGCAACGATCCCAAATAGAAATCTAGTGACGAAGCAGTTCCTATTCGAGGACGTACCCGAAACGATCGACCGGCCGTCGAACTGTCCCGAGGTCAATCCGAACGAGAACGTCTGGTCGATTCTCAAACAGCGTGTTGAGATGCGGAAACCTCGATGAATTGGACAGATTTCTGCTTCAAGAATGAGACAGAATCGACATGGGCACTCTGTATCATATGGTGGAATCGATGAGAGCGTAATGCTTAGCTATGATTGATTCGAAAGGAGAGAGGATCAACTTTTGATTGTGTTACATGTGTACTTTGTCCCAGTCCTTATCTCTTAATAAAATTGATTTTGATGATTTGATTTCATTGCAACTGGAAATCATTTCACCACGTAGACTCGTTTGAGGTTATGTTTCTGTTATAAACTTCGGAATTGTCTTTCTATTCATCAAAATTAGGATTTTACCTGTAATTTCTGTTAACATGTGATTTTTCCTCCAAGCTACCAAATATCAATGTACCTTCTTCATGATAAAAAACGAGACATTTAGCCCTCAAACACTCTGAGTTAAATAGAAATTGAATGCACTTCATACCGCCGCATACTGAAACTTTTTCACGGATTTTGTCATAAAGAAAGGGAAATTCCAAGAGATATCCATTTGATTTCAAGAGACGTTCATGATACCAAATTGTCTTCCTGCGTTTTCACTGTTTTTTTTTTTTCAACCGGAGCCTCGCAATGAACACGGTGTGTTTCTTGTGGGAAAAGGAGAATGATCCAGTGTGGGGCTTCGCATTTCCCCTCAATAGATTTTCGCATTCCCCCATGTGATGTTTTGGGGGCTGATGAACTGAGAAGGTGAAAAGTGAGAAATGGGCCCCTCTGGACCCCATCGCGAATGAGGCAGTGACTGGGTTTTGCAAATTCTTTCGTATTTCGGGAGATGTATCTGATATCTTTATCATGCGTCACCTACTCTTACCTATAAAAATCACATCATCCAGCGTTGCCGCTCTCCTTCGCGGTGCGGAAGTGCTCTGATAAGGTGGCAAAAAGATAATGAGGGCAAAAGCGATGTACCCAAATTCCTTAAAAGGGAATGCTCACCTTCTGATCACATCCGTGAGGGATATCCGTGAGGGATACTTTCTTATATATAGATGATCGTGAGTAATTGACTGACCGACACAAGTCGCTATTCGCATCCTGAGTTCAGGAAAAATTCTACTTTGGTGATACATGCTATTGAGGAACATATTTCCTAATAGTTCCCTTTGCATCAATCAAACGGAGACACATGGAAAGCTGAAACCTGGCAAGATCGTGACTGCCGAGACAGAAATTTTAAAATCCCTCAGAAGTACCTATTTGATGGCGGAGTACAGGAAAAATCCTACTTTTCAAATATGGTCCATTAGCGTAGATTATAGAAGGTGAGTATTGCAAAATGTATTTTTCACCCTTACAAAAAGGGACACATGAAAAGATTTAAAGTTAGGCACACCAGAAATAATAGAAGTAAAGATTTTGATAATAATTAAGACTTTCGTCCCCATGTGTCACGTATTTCAAATACGTTTTTACCATTTCAGAAAGAGTAAATGAATTAATCACTCTCCAAGGTAATGAAGCGCTGAAGGCGCGGCCATAGCGGCCATAACAAACTCGCTAGTTTTAAATATACCTTAGAAGCCTTTGGTAGCGCCTATTACCGCTCTTCAACCCCTTCCCGCAAGAAAATTCAAACTCTCTCTGAGAGCATCAAAGGGAACAAAGTTACGCATGCTTCTTCCTCCCTCAACACGGAATCTCTCCAGCAAATTTAAAGCTCCATTTCCCCGGGGTTATGGAGATCACTGAATCTCGCTTTCTAAAGACATGAATTTCTTTTTTTAATTCTTTATTCCCCCCCCCCCCTGGGTAGCCACACCTTTGAGGCTTTCGTAGGAAAGAGACCAACCATAAAAAAAAATACTGACTTGTAAATGCCGAAAAGTGCCCTTTTTGTTGCGGGCAATACACCAAAAATGAAATTCCCTGTCGTTCATTTTGGCTTCGAGCGCTAGCTCAAATCGATTCGTCCAGTGTTGCCAGATATCAAGCGGAAATTACGCCAGATTGAAGACTTCTTAAACCTTCATGTTTCCGTCTGCATCTTTTTTTCGCATAAACTCTTGTTGAGTTTATGAGTTGAGCGGAGAACGAAGCGGTGGTAAGCAGTGATCGATCGATGCGTGGGACTGTAAAAAATTCTTCGGAAATTTCCAAGTCTCCATCGTAAAAATTTCCGATTAAGAAGCATGCAAACCTGCGTTCCCTCCTATGGAGGGATAAATTTTCCTGCATGTCCTCGGAAATCCGACTTCATTTAATTTGCGGAATTTTCCACTTCTTTTTCACAAAATATTATGGTTAAGGGACATGCATTCGAATTCCCTCGTTTAAACGAACCATCCTCTTCCTCATTCGTGTCGGAAAAGCCCGTTTCGAAAACAATCTCGGAAAAACCTTTCCGTATCGTTCGGACCATTCCGTATCGACACCTTAGGGAAGCCATCCGACACCTTTAGTTTGCATTCCGAACGGCAGAAGACTCCCCAGCAGCCTCCGAAATCCCCTTCATCGTGACGCCGCGATGCTCCGGAAAACGCACAGTTTTCATTCTCAAGAAGATAGGGATCTTTCTGCCTATTTGCCTATAGGATACGGGGGAAACGGGAAGCATCGCAACTTCTTGTTCCCGTCGGGAGAGGCAAATATTTTGTTTACTCTTTCCCGAAAGCCTTTAAAAAGGAGGTACCGAATAATCGCATTGGTGAATAGAGAAACTTCCAGCTTCTCCGTGATAGGGATGCACCAAATACTCTACAGGTAATATCAATTAATAAGGGGAGGTTGCGTAACGATTTGGACATCCCATTTCTCATGCAGGGTTTCGATTGGAACTGTGCCGTTTTTGAATAATGAAGGCCATTATGGATAATCCCGAACGAGACGGAGATTCATTTCCGTGGACCGAAACCCGATTCCGACTATGGATTGGAATTTTCCGGAAAATGAGAGGAAAGCTCTTTAGCTTGCTAAAGTTTTAGTTTAATTTTGTTTCGTAAAATCTTTGCGAAGATTGTGGTTGGCCGGACTACGATGGGGAGGGAAGTGAAGTCGACGGTCGGGATTTCTCGATGAGGAAGAAATTTGGCAACGAGGGAGGCTCTCCTTTTCCTGCAGAATTTGAGGGAGGCGAAGGCTGCCTCCCAGGAGGAGCAACTGGAACTGGGGATGAGACGCAGAGCACGCTTCTCAATTAGTTCAAGAGAATGCGTTTGAGAGGCAGTCAGGGACGAGTGCCATGAGGAGGCAGCATGCTCCAGGACGATGGGGGGTATCGGGTGTCCACGCGAGGCTCGGAGTCAGTGGTGAAGCGGACTCCTTCAGCCGACGAGGGAATCGTGGTCTGTGATCCTTCGAAAGAAAACCGACATTTCATTCGTGAAAAATCGACTCATTCGGTCTGAAAAGGGAATAATGGGCTCAACGATTGCCTTGCGTCCACCTCAGCAATTGACCCAATCGGGGTGATCCTTCGGCCTGCATCTGAGCGGGCACTCCTTCACGAGCGGAGCGTATCTGGTGCCCGAACCGAGCCAGATGCCCCCGTCCCGACGAGTCGGAAAAGGCCTCGTCTCCCCTCCGACGAATTCGTCGCAGGTGAAGCTGGCGCGCACCAACTAGAATCGAGAGACGGCCTTCGAGTTGACGCTAGGTCTTCGACCACACAACTCTTGGAAGATGCACGGAACTCACGAAGTGTTCCCGGGCTTCGTCCCAAAAGAGCAGGAGCAGATCCTGATCCAAATCCCTCCTCGTCGCTGGTTTTGCTCTCGAACACCATTTTTCTTCCCAGATAGTGAACGAAACTTCGGTTCTGCGACACATTCGCGCCCCACAGACCTGTTAGAGTGCATGCATGTTGTATACAAACAACCCTCGGACAAACTGGCTATCACCTTTCTTCAAGCCCATCCCAATCGAGTCATTTGCGCCTGCCGAATTCAACGGAATACTAGCGCCTTCCACTCAGGACGGGATTTGAATTTCCTTATCACTTTTGACCTGAAAACCAATTTTTTTTGCTTGGACAGCCTGTAGTTTTGACTAAGATCATCTTTATTGTTGTGTTCCACATGTATCTCGATGGAACAGTCGCGACGAACAGTCCAAAAAAACACGCGGGCACACGGTAATCGCGGCGGTTACCACGTGGTAACTGCCAGCTCACGCGTCAGGAACTCTCTCGAATACGCGATAAATGGAATCGGTTGGGGCCGATTCAGCCAGAGGCTCCGGATCAAATTTGTTTGCATTCTTGCCATAACGTTGCTCTCCAACTGCTGTCGCTGGCGCCACCTACCGCTTGCCAACGTTACTTCTCCCTTTTCTGGTCAGAGGGAAGATGTCGATGGTTGTCGGGTCGGTTGTTTTACACGGAAGTTTGCCGCGTCGTGGATAGTTTAAACACTGAATTTATTTGATTCAACGCGGACCAACGCTGAAAGGTCTCCATGCGCGTACGCCTGATTTCTTGAGCTCGAAGAGGAGTTGCATAATACGTGGTGCTTGACCAACCGAGATTTTCTGGGAATGGACGTTAGATGTCCTTAAATTCAAGTTACATAAAGGTAGTGAAGATTGGAGTCGTATGTGTTCGGACGCTATGCCTTGGCATTTTCCCTTCATTTGAATGAACATTGGAAATACAAAAGGAATCGTTGGAGGAAGGAGTGAGGTTAAACGGTGTCCCATACAGTTCTCATGCACATCACATGAGCTTATCATACACTTTCATTGGAAAGGACTTCCAGAAAACATTCGTTTTATACTTAGACTTCCACATCTGATTTTCACGACGAGAGCAACGATCAATAGTAGAGCAAAAATTTAGATATAATTTATTTGTAATATATATATATTATACACGAATATTGCAGTATCTATATTGTTATATCATATACCAGATATATTGTCAAGTAGGAAACTCAAGGTCCATTCAGAGTCAACTTGAATTTTTTTTTATTTGATCAGAAGTGAAGTGGATAATTTAGAGCTGGCGTTGGTAGGAAGGAATCTTGGAAGTAATTTATGACATCCATATCTTTGTAATAAGTTCCAAAGGCGCATTTACCTCGAACGCTTCCAACGAAATCCAGGACCCACCCGATCCTGCATCTGCACACGATGGGATTGCCTGGAATACGCGGAGGACGAGAAATGTTGGATGGCAGAGGAAAGGAGAGAAGGAGGGGGATGCGGGAGGCTATGGCTAGGCGGATGAATGTAACTCACCGTACAGGTCGATGTACCCTTCCCCCGCTGCGAGGTTCTCCAACATGAGTACGAAGGACTCCTTAGTGAAGTTTCTGATTTCATTGCCCCATAAATCGATTCTGCTCTCTGCCGTGAAACCTGTATTGTAGATGGAGGAGATGCTTCGCTACCCTCTGGCTGGACTCCCCTGTTGGACTTTGCAGGGGATAAGGAAGACCTGCAAATGTAATCTTACTTCTCAATTCCTTAGTGGAGGAATTTACCATGGGATTCCAAGCTTGAAATGTTGTTACCTCCAAGAGACACATATCTCAACGCTTAACTGTGGACCTCCAACGTCCCATTGAACAGAGTCGGCCCCAGGTTGCAGTTGTTACAAGAAAATAGCCATAATTTCTCCAAGTTCTCGAAGAATCCGTGCTCGACTTCCGTGATTATCTGCCCGGGATGGAATCAATTCAATGAAAAATCCATCACGTAACTTCAAGAAGAAAATGTTCCATGATGACGAGGAGACTATAGAGATGGCGGGATCGATTAATGTTCTCTTTCGTACTTTCATAATGCCTCCTTCGCGCGTAGGAAATTAGCTACTCCATTACTTTCAACGGGTAGAAATTATATCAAGTAGCCGCACTTCATGATTGGGGGTAAGAATGCATTCGTCTCTCAATGAACAACTGTGAGTTCTAGGAAGTTTTCCATTATGTTGGCGATCGTCTATCCTGCGATAACTTAGCCAAGACACGTCCATTTCGAGATGTGCGCGTCATCATACTCACGGGCGAACTAATTCCTTCACTCTACGTCTGTGGAAACCGGCTGATGACCGCAATATATCCACGAACTCATTGAGTCCAAGACGATGGCACTCACCCACTACGAGAGCCGTCAGGTTCGGCGTCGACCACCCAACCGTGAGCCTTGCTATCTTATTGCCCCCGAGGGAGAGCCTCTCCAGACTGGGGCTTTCCACGGGCGGCAAATCGAGCAAGAAATTCTCTCCAAGTTCGAGATGGACGAGGCCGGGCATATCGGGCAGGAAGTCCCATGGAAATTCCCTCAGTTCGCCTGCCAGGATCTCCGGCCGGCGAAGCTGTTCTTTCGAGGAACGGAGGGCCGAGCGATGAATGGATCCCACTTGTGTGTGCAATAGGATTATCCTTTCCAAGGAAACATTGCCAAACACGCCCGGCGGGAACTCTTCCACGGCCTCGTTCTCAAGCAGCGTGAAATCGCTGGAAACATGCATAAGTTTTATGGAAAACATCTTGATTTTGATCGACCTTCGGCTAGAGTTCCGGCTTGATCTCTTGTCATCCCCGGAATTTTATATGAGTTTGATTGAGGCTGAGAGATGTTTGGCACTGGAATTTCGTGTTGAGTACCTTAAAATCGATTCATTGATGAAGATTGTGAACATGGGTGAAACAAAACCGAGCTGGTAACATCCCGGTAAAAAAAAATGTTCGTTTGATTATCGTCGTGCCATAGCTGGGGAAGCTGGCTCATCTTCGGCGAATGATTAAGACAACCAACTCACACTCTTGTCGTAATGCGGCCGAGAAGATTCCCAAAACCGTCGAGAGATGAAGTCAAAGTCGTTCGTCGTATCGTATTGAGCGATGCGTCGCTTGTAGTGAGACTCGTGCCTTCGTAGGCGTCGATTGCTTGCTAGTCTTATTTTCATACACTGTAAAGTTATTCCAGGGGAAATATAGATATATACTGTAGGCAGGAGGTGATAAGTTTATTTCAGTTCATGATTTTTTGGATCCCACCAGCGTAGTATTTCAATAGGTCTGCGGATAAAGTTATTAAAAGTGAGGAAATCCAGGAATGCAAGAGGGGTGGCTTTTGACTCACAGTTCAACTCACCTGAGTTGCCAATAGGGCCAAACGGCATCATTGAAAGTCGAGAAAATTTCGTCGCTCGAGCTTGCACGCGAACAGTCCACAGACGAAAGGCCGGAACCTTCGAGGTGGAAGCAGGCGCAGGGTAGAATGTCACTTGGATCGGGACAAGGAGGCGGGTTTCCCCGCTCGTCCCGAGGGCGAAGAGGAGGAAAGAAAGGGAGAGGAAGAAGGGAAGGAAGAGGAACGCGATGCATCGCTGCATCTTGGAGGTGAGTGGGTGGGAGGTGCTGAAGAGATGGGGATGGGAGTGGATACGCACCGGTTCAGATGGATAATGCTCATTTTGAAGTCCGTGCGTTTCAAGTGGGAGAGAACACTTGACGTACCCCAAATAGGGGAAAGATAAAAGCTTTTGCTTAAAGAAGATTCGAGAGTGAGTTAACAAACGGACAGTAGACTCTTACGGGGTTGATCAAAGCAAATTCCAGACGCTGAGAAGTCGATCGACCAGTTTCTCTTTGAAGGCAGAAATTGGACAATGGGCAGCCTTCTAAGGAATCCAGGATCAGCTGAAATGAGAACTGATCGGAGAGCCGGTTCGGTGAGAAAGAGAATGAGCGCTTCAAAAACGCATTCGGTGCTCAGATACTTCTACACGCTTTCAATTTCTGTAATTCTGTGCGTACACATTGTGATTGCTCCATAAATATTTACTCTTCGCAAGATAGAATAAATCACTTGCGCCGCTTTCAGAGATCCGAGAAGATATCCTTATCAATGCATGCGTCTCTTTTGGACATCGGGCATCACTGCCGCCTCCTCCTTCTCCCTCCGCTCCGCAGTCTTCAAGTCTTCAACCACCTCGGAGAAGCGTGGCTGAGTTCTGTCGAGACGGGAAAGGTGGTTGGATGGAGGGCCTTCCCCGAGAGAGGAGGCATTCTCAAAACTGTAAAAAATAAATTTGGAAAATTAAGTCATTAGGACCAAGGCACACGGAACAGAGTTTCAGTCTCATATGCGGAAAAGTGAATTCCTATCTAAAGTGGAATCTTTTTAATCAAGGTGAGGTTGAACGTGAAAGAAAAATGTTGAAAGAGGTCCTACAGGACGGCGATGAGGCAGTCGCTGCAGATAATAAACGATTGGTGCTGGCGCGGAAACAACGTTTGCCACTGCAGTTGCAAAATGGGCGAAATCGCCTCTTGATATCACTAACTCTCCTGACTCCTGACTCCGAGAAGATATCCATATCAATGCATGCGTCTCTTTTGGATATCGGGCATCTCTGCCGTCTCCTCCTTCCCCCTCCCCCCGCAATCTTCAAGTCTTTGACTTCAACTATCTCGGAGAAGCGTGGCTGAGTTCTGTTGAGACGGGAGAGGTGGTTGGATGGAGGGCCTTCCCGGAGAGAGGAGGCATTCTCAAAACTGTAATAAATAAATTTGGAAAATTAAGCCATTAGGACCAAGGCACACGGAACAAAGTTTCCGTCTCATATGCGGAAAAGTGAATTCCTATCTAAAGTGGAATAAATATGTTCTCTTCATTCACTTAGAAATTCACTCATTGCCAAAATTGCTTTATTTCAGTAATGGCAGGTAATTTTACGTTTCTTCTATTGAGATTTTTCGTCTCATTTGAGGATTGGCTAGTGGCATTCATTACTCGAAAATACCTACATACCCTCAATTTTACAGATATTTTATGGCGTTTCTCTTATGGAAAATTTGAATGTACATAGAAGGTAGAAGCGTCTTTCTCTTCGCTCTTGCGATTCCAAGTGGGAAGAAAGGTACGTCCTTAGAACAACGTTGAAAACAATACAGAATTTATTGGATTATCAATGGGGGATGGAAGGTAGAAGAAATACAGAGGAGATGCAGCCGCATGTTCGTAGGAGGGATATCCTGGCACGCGACACACACCGTGATCACTGAGTTGGTCGGCTGAGGGGGTCGGGACGCTCTCGGTGCGCCCACGTGTTGTCCGGCAGAAGGTTCAAGCCGAACTGCGCATAGGGCAGGACGAGGGCGTGAAGCAAAGAGTGACCCGTTACGGCCACTTGGCGTGAGAAAAGCGGGGGCTCTTCATCTCTACTCATTACCTCACCTAGGGCATGAGAAATACTCCACAGCATTAATTGAAGATAACACTCTCAGGCCGACCCGGATGACAACGTTGAAATTCCTTCTATCATTCAATCGCTGGATTCATCGGTGGAAAAAAATCTTACACGTGAAGGGATATTCTAAAAATAGTCCCGAATTTGGAAATCTAATCTAATACTCGCAGCCTCGCCTGAAGTGGCTTTGGATAGTCTCAATCCTTTCCACTTTCCATGTCCTCTTTATAAAACCATAATTCATTTCTCAACAGAGCAGGGGTCCCTGGATTGTGAGTCTGAGACCCTTGAAGGATTCTACTGATACTACACCTTTCATTCGCTAGGTGTCCTGCCAGCACTTGATAGAAGCGCTCCTATGGGGGTGAAGATCCCCCTCCCCCCGGTCACTCTTGAGCTCCTTTAAGCATCCCAATTCGATTCGAAAACAGTGTAGGACGCCTCATGACTCAAGTGCAAATAGCCTGCGGTAGAAGGGCCTCAGCCGTATCACACCACATCTGCATGTCAGTCGCGTATGACTCCTTCCTCCTTCATCTAGTCCCGTCGTTGACACCAAGTTGTGGTATGTGGATGCCTTTTTTCCCAGTCATCTTCATTCAAAGATTGTGGTCGGCAGTGAACAAAAAAGGAAGGGGAAGGGCATATAGGAGTATAGCGGCAGGAAAGAGTTGCGTTAGCCAAGAATTCAGCAGGAGGTGAGATGGGAGTAACGAGAAGCGGGAAATAAATCGAATTTCATTATCATTTTGTGACTTGCCCTCATTACTGCAATTCCAAAAGATATGCAGTGTATCCCAGAAACCCAGCCCCAATATCATTCAGGGATTGATTGTTTTATCCATATATTCTCCATCCATCCATCCATATACATAATCCACATCCATATCCATATCCATCTAATATATATAGACGATCGTGACTGACTGACTGACTGACGCTAATTCTAAGAATGTTCTAGAGGAGTTAGAAATCTGAAACTTGGTACACATGTACCTTTTGGGATGTAGAGATCAGAAAAAAATCCTACATAGGAGGTACATGCCCTGCCGTACACATTTTGGGGGGAGAAGTTTTTAAAGATAAATATTGTGACGGATTAGGATGGCATCGAGAGGCTTGACACCATTTCCCGGGTTCGGTGGTGTAGTGGTAGCACACCTGACCGGCATTCAGAAGGCCCGGGTTCAATTCACGGCCGTTTATTGACTCTCTTTCGGCCTCTTATGCCTACCAAGTCGCGTTACCCATTCCCCCTCCGCAATAATTTATTGCTTTAGTAAAACGGAGAGACATGGAAAGCTGAAACTTGGCATGGACATGCCTACCGAGACGATGAGTTTAGGAAAAATATACATTTAAGATCCATGCCCTGGGGGATATGAATGTGACTACTGAGACAAGGAGTTAAATAAAAATATTTAGTCTCGATACTTCCGCTGGGGTAATTTTTTCGAGGGGCGATGTTTTGAAAAAAAAAATTGTTGTGGCGAATTGGACAGAAGTAGAAAGGTGAAACTTGGCACACGTATAAGTGAGACGCTATTATTATTATTGACTTGAGGGTGTATTTAGCTTTCATGTTGCATCCCCTCCGGGCATAGCTTTTGGATGGGTCGGCTTTACCAAACATGTTTTTTTCACCAGCAAAAAGGGCAATTGTATAATATTGAAACTTTGTGGGGATGTAATTCACTGAGGATGGAATTCGGTAAAAAAAAAAAAGAAGGTACTTTTTGGTTAAAACGGCTCAGGGCACATATTTTGCAAAATGTGTATTTTCCCGAATTTTCTGATCCAGCAAAACAGAGGGCGCTAGAAAGTTTACACTTGGCAAAAAATGACCTATTGGATAGCTGAGTAAAGAAAAAATTCTAATTTTATTATACAGGGTGGTCCAAAAGTCTCCATACATAGGGAAAATTAACACTTTAAAAAAAGTGTAACTTTACTTTCTAAATATGTTCTACATACATATTGAATTCTTTTTCTTTTTCCAGATACCCTTTAAGAATGCCTTTGTCAAAAGAAGAACATGAATTACCTAAAGGAACGCATTCGAAATGCAATTTCGCTCCTAACACCATATGTATTAATGCGAGTTCACCATGAATGGGAGAGTCGCATCCGTATGTGTTTTCAAAGTAATGGCAACCATGTAGAGCATATTTTGTGAATAAATTTACATTTTGTTAAAAAGTGTTTATTTTCCCTATGTATGGAGACTTTTGGACCACCCTGTATATGGACGATCGTGAGTAGCTGACTGACTA